TATTTATAAAAAAGCATAAGGGTTAGAACCACCAAAAATACACAGGAAAGAATAGATTAAAAGAATTTCAAAGCAAATAAAAATAGAATGGGGTCAATAGTGTCAAACAAAAGAATATCAGAGATTTTTCTGAAAGACAACTGCTACCAAATATATCGAGTCAAATTAAGTTTTATCCAAAATAAAAACATTCCTGGCCATCTACCTTGGTACACATTGACTAGAAGTTGAAATGCATGCTGACACTGTTATGCCATAAGGGTGGAGATGCTAGAGCCTATCGCTAGTCACCGTGACTCTGTGCCAGTGATGACAACCACTAGAAAGTAATCCTACCCATGGATCACTAACCAGTGACATTAGAATTTCTATAGAGAGCTGTTTACAGAGCTTAGCCAAGACACAAAGAGACATGCTCTTCCCTCATTATTTCTACAACTGAGTAAGAGTTCTCTAGGCTGCTAATGAGGGTAGTGTGACCTGAGCAGGTTAATGGCTACCAAGAAATGACATTCCCAGTAATATTTCTCCAGTGAGTACAAATGTGGTCACAAGCTAGCAGCTTCCATATCTGCCACCTGCAGCGCACCTGATGCTTCTCAGAGTACTTCGTATACATCTCGCAGAACTGCTTGATCTTCCAGTGTACTCAGTGGGACCGCAGGAGGGCAGGCTCAAGAATCCAAAGGCTACCCTTTACTGCCCCCCAAAACATTCAACTTTTAATGAAAACAAATTTCAAAGTTATCAAAATATTTAAGCTTCAGGTCTGGAGATGGCTCAGTGGTTAAGCGCACTGGTTGTTCTTCCAGAGGACCCAGGTTCAAATTCCTGGTACCCACATGGCAATTTACACATGGCCACTCACACATGGCAGCTCTGTAACTCCAGTTGCAGGGGATCCAATGTCCTCTTCTAGTCTCCATGAGTACTGCATGCATGTGTACAAAGACATACATGTAGGTAAAACACCCCTACGCATAAAATAAGTATTCATGCTTAATAAGCGTCTAAATTTTCATAAAAGTTCCCATAAGACAATGCACTAAGGATATACATAGGTTTAGTAAACTAAATTGGAACCAACACAATTCAGCTGTGGTTGAAAACTGATTATGAAGCCGGGTGTAGTGACAGATGCCTTTAATCCCAGCACTCAGGAGGCAGAGGTGGGTGGATCTGCACAGTGAGTTCTGGGACAGCCAGGGCTATGTAGAGAGACCCTGCCCACACTCCCTCCACCCCAAACACACACAAAGAAAAAAGAAAAAGAAATTATATGATTAGAGGAGTGAGAAGTTATAAATATTACCACTAAAACATTTTTTTTAATCCATTTAAGATCAAAGTTAAGGCTGGAGATGTGGCTCAATGTGCCAGAGCACGTGCCTGGCATGTACGAGGCCCTGGGTTCAATCATCAGCACCACAGGATAAGAGTTAAAGCATGTCAATTTGTGCCTGGATACTTATAGTTAGGTTTCTTGTTCTTTTTCTGAAACACACTTCAATATACCCTTAAATATGCTTCTCAGGTCCATTTACTGTTACTTGAAAAAGGTTCCTGAAATGGTTTGGTAATTCCAGTGACTTTGATTTGATATAAAACACACCAAATAAACAACTCACGTTTTATCTTTAGAATCAAATAATCGCTCTCAAGAGTGCTTTTTTTTTTTTTTTTTTTTTTTTTTGGATCCTAGCACTGTGACTCCTGTTTCCTCTAGCCCATACACCGAGACAAACATGGCAGTACTCCCTCCACATCAGTAACAAGTACTCCCGAGGGAAAGGGAGGCTCAGGAGCTGGCGATGGGCTAGAAAGGGGAATTCAAACATTTCCACTCCCATTCAGCCACTATACTTGTTGGGACAGGAATCATCCAGACAGAACCTGTTTCCTTCTCAACCACTGTTCCACCACTTTCTTGCCTTTTTCTGAAATACCTGTCAGTTTTAGCATAACTGATAGACCAGAGTCAATGAAAATCTGCATTATCATGGTGACTTCTTAACTCTTTATGATATAAAAGAAATGCCTTTTCAAAACAACTTTCAAATGGCTATTTTATCTAAACCATCAGTTCCTTCAAAATAAGAAAAGTGACAGGGAGTGGAGACACACACATTCCAGAGTTACATATAGACTACGACAGCACAAATTTATTCCACACAGCTGTGAGAATTATTAAATGAGCTAATACATGCAAAGTACCAGAATAGTACCCAACACACAGTAAGTTTTCAGTAACTGTGAGTTGTTACTTTACCATGTCCCATTTGGCCTGCCCTATGTTCCTTACAAAGCAGGGAAGAATGAGTAGCAGGGACAAAAAAAGTCCCTGCCTTCTGTGCTTACATACCCATGACCACACAAATCCAGCTGCTAAACTCTTCCAGGAGAAGGCACTGCAATGGGCCACCTAGATTCCCTTTATAAAACTAACCTCTGCTGATGTCAAACATGAAAGAAAGATCACTTTTTTTTTTTTTCCCCCTGGATTTCTCAAAGCCAACCCAGAGAGCCAATGATACAGAATGGGACTAGATGACTAGTTTGAGGGACAGGTTTAGACGGGCAGTCCCACTCACACCAGAAAGAAAGTGGATTAGTGACAAATTAGGGGCAAATGACAGCAGAAAAATGGTATCAGACTGACTTAACTCAGCTACTTAGGGCCATTAATGGGGAGCTGTCTTGGCCAAGCAGCCAATGTGACTGACAAGCAGAATGCCACTGGAGACGTCCATGTTAATCTCTAACAGAAAGGAGGGGAACCTCTCACTTCCTTAAGCACTGGCATGGGAGTCCATCCAGCCGGGCCCAAGAGGGCTCCACTGCGATCCTCTACTAATGCTGCCCTCTACTTACTACCCTGTGAAGTTTATCTCAGTTTTCTAGGGCTCGGAAGCTAGCTCAGCAACCCCGCACCCGTATAAACAGCCAGACACAACACACCCTGTACATCTAGTGCTCCAGAGGCAGAAGGGAGGATCCCAACGCCTTCTCAGCCAGTCAATCCAGCCAAGTCAGTAGAGAAATAAACTGTCCTCACACACATACAAACCCAGCAAGGTCCCTTTTTGCCCTGATTGTATTTGTTACTTTTGTGGTCACTACGACCAAATACCTGACAGAAGCCACGTAGGGACGAAAGGTTTATTTTGGTTCACAGTTGTGAAGGACCGCAGTTCACCAAAGGCACGGCATTCATAGAGGGAAGAATGGAGGGCAGAGACACCTCAGAAGGCACTCACCAGAAGATAGAACAGAGTGGAGCCAGAAGTTGATGCAACCTTCTAAGACCCATCCTTCATAACCTCTTTTGACCAGCCTGTCTCCACCTCCTCAAACCACCACGGCCTTCAAAGTAGTACTGCAAGCTGTAGACAAAGTGCTCAAAACACACACCTCTAAAGACATCTCCTACTCAAACGTTAACACTTACAGTAATGGACAAGCACACTGGAGTGCAGGGAGCGCAGACATGTAAGTGAGCAGTGCTGCGTCTCCTGTACCTCTCTGTAGACATGCAAGAAAATTAATCTCAAGTGTAAAATGGAAAAGATGTTAATACAAATGACATACACCTTCCCTAAGATTCTAAAAACAAGTTTCTGACATCTTTCTTAGTCAAGAAAGACCTTAAAAACCAGTTGAAATATACAATATGTAAGTACAGAGAGTGGGCTCAAATAGGCTGAGGCTGTCCCGAGCATCATCAGCACCTGAACTGTTGAATCAGAGAATTTCAGCCATGTTAATGGGACACACAGATTTGTGGTAGCTCTGCTCTCTCCAGGATAAAAAACTTCGCTACACCACCAATTGTGATTTCGCTGATTGATGGATGGATGGATAGGTTGATATAGGGCATCAAACCCAAGGCTTCCTCTACATCATGCTAGGCAAGTGCTCTAGCATGTAGCATCAATAAGAATGTAGCATCAATAAGAATGTAGCATCAATAAGCTACATTCTCAGTCTAGCCTTGAATTTAAAGCAATCTGTATACTCTAAAATGCAATCCCCTTTCTACAATATTTACCATATCTACAATATTTACAATAAAAGATGGTAGGAGAAGAGGAAGAAAAGGAGAACCAACAGAAAGTTAGTATCTCTTCTCCATGTGGGTAGTTTTATTTGAACACATTTTCCAGTAAACCTAAGACTTAAAGTTAACTTGGCTAGTTAATAGCTGTGCTTTTAAGACATGTATATGAGCCAAACACAGGACCGCAATAAGTTGTATTTAGAACAGGGCTATTTATGCTATGAGTTCTGCAAGGTATTATCATATATTTTTGTTACTTCTGTGTTTGCTTTGTATCATCTTTATAATCTTAAATCAATCATTTAAAATAAAATATGCTCCTTTACAAGAGCTAAAGAATTAAGAGCTGTTTCAAGCCCTCTCACTTCAGAACCCCTAAACTCCTGAGTACTTCTGTGGACACTGTTTCTATTATAATCCAACCCAAAAGATCTTGTTCATTTAATCCCATTGGGCAACAAACACAGCAGATGCACATCTCCAACCCTCTCTTCAAGAAGGACTTCATCTTGCCAAAATGACTATCTCTTAAGTGTTGTAAACAAAATACTGCCGATTATCAAGCCTCAGAACGAATGTGGCACGTGCTGCATGAACACGTACAGAATTTACTCCTACTACCACAAGCCACAGAAGGCACAGAGTTACCCAAAGTGGTAAGTAATGCAAAGAACTTTCTCGTTTGTCTCTGCACACTGGCAGTACACGTGTAAACCATAAGTCAGATTTGCATAACTGAGCTGCAGCAATACTGTTTGATGGCACCAATACACTTAACAAAAAATTGCCAGGACCTATAAGTAACTGGAAATGGCTGACTAAAGAACAAAAATGCTGTTTACGTATGTTACATGTGCCTAACATTAAAGAAAAACAAGCTTGTATCACAGAATAGAGGACCAGTATAAACCCAACCTGAGATAATGAAATGGGACTCTCCTACCTGAACATCTTTGTATTTGTCCCGTAAGTCCAGGAGCCGGTGGTAAGCTTTAATGGCTTCCGAAAACTCCCCAACATCAGTGCTGGTGAGGATGTAGTTTTCCCAGATTTGCCAGTGTTCGTAGTTACACTTGAGAGCTTCTTGTAACGTTCTGAAAGCTTTGACTCTGTGGAAGGTCAAAATTCAAAGAAAGAAACAACAGTCTTTTCAATTAGGAAAAACACGGCCATGTACATATGAACATGAATGTGAATGGCCACTCTTCCATCTTGCTTTAATACATCACTTGGGCATCAGATGCCCAAATAATCCAAAACCATCAAGCTTCCCTGTATATTTCAATAATGATCTGAGGGACACATAGCACTCTATGGAAATACATCTTCCTTAATGTATTTGCAGCTAACAAGGACGTTATAATAAGCATCACTCTCAGTATGGCCCCAAGAAAAGGCCGGTTTAAGTTCTACCCTCTAACCTAGATCTACCAAGTATGGCTGCAATGCTGCAAGACGAACAGTGGGAAGAACGGCAGTGGGAGGGCAGGAGGGAAGTCAAAACACTGCTTACACTCTAAATAAACCCACAACACAACATTCTACAGCCTGGGCGAGAGGGGTCTACACAAGGATGGGACAGTCAACAAAATTATTCAAAGGGTATAAGCTACTAAAATGAAGGTGAGTTTTGTTGTTGTTATTTTATGTGTATAGGTAGTTCTGCATGCCTGTATGTCTCTGCACTATCAATGTTCCTGGTGTCCGTGGAAGCAAAAAGAAGGGATCAGATGCCCTGGAACTTGAGCTACAGATGGCTGTGAGCAGCCTTGTGAGCACAAGGCACTGAACCCGGGGCCTCTGCCAGAGCAGCCAGGGCACTCCTAACCATGAGCCATCACTCCAGACCCTAAGTTACTGTTAAGTAATCTATCAAAACTAGGAAACCACAGCCGGGCACATTGGCACACACCCATAATCCCAGCAGTCAGGGAAGCAGACGCAGGTGGCTCTCTGTAAGTTTGATGCCAGCCTGGTCTACAAAGTGAGTTCCAGGACAGCCAGGGCTACACGGAGAAACCCTATCTCGAACCCCAGCCCCCTCAAAAAAAGAAGTGAACAAGAGGTGTTAAGAAGGCAGAGGGGTGTGCATACAGAAGAACACACATGACAAAAAAGCATAAAGAATGGTCCTTGAACAAAGAGGGAAGAGGGGAGCGAAGGGAGAAACAACAAAAACAAATGTCTGAAATGTACATAATGAGACCATTTTATTCTTGTATGCTACTAATTTTTTTAAGACGTAAGCTAAAAAAAAAAAAAAGATGTAAGCTATTAAGCCTTTGAGAGTATCTGTTTTGAAACATGACAGAGACAAGGCAATGACTTACACTATAAAACAAAACTAGGTGGAAACAAACCAAGACCAAGGAAATGTGAATTAAAAACAACTAGAAATTTCAGAGTTGAAATAAAAGCTAAAATTAACAAAATTCAATGTGTGTCTAATCCCAGATTATATATAATTCAAGAGAAAATTGGTGAACTGGAAAAGAATAGTGAAGAGCTTGCCAAACTTTAAATTAAAAAAAATAAATGAAGTGTGAGGAAACAGAAGAATAAGACTTAGGTATAAATCTGATAAAAATTCCAGAGTAAAACCAAGCACAAATCCAAATTCTTTGGTTAAAAAAGTATACTGCATATGCTAAGCAACATAGACATATAAAGTAAAATTACAGAACATGAAGATATCCTAATGTTTACAAACGAATAACAACTGGGAAACAGTGGGTAGTTCATCAGCAACAAGATGACAGAAAGCAATATGTAATATTCTAACATGCTGAGTGAAATTAACACTTAGCCTAAAGTTTTATAACTAGCTAAACTTGACATGCAAAAGGAAATGCAAAATCAAACATATTTACGTGTACAAAGACTAAGTGGCTATGGACTGATCCTAACTTCAAGAACTTTCTTGCAAAAATAAATGGAATTTCAAAAAGAAAAACAGAAATAGTTTTCTAACAATCAAAATCAAACAAATTGTTTCTATGCACAGCCCCCATCCCTTACCATGGCCTCCCATTTAATAGCAAGTTGGGTTGAGACTTCTCATTTCTTCCATTTACAAAGGAGTGGGCATCTAGTCAGCTTCTTGGAGAGCAACTCAACAAGCAATAATCAATGCCAAAAGGACATCTCTCTTCCCCCAATCACAGGGTCCTGAGCCCAGCACTTTAAATGAAGGGTGGAGTGGGGAGCTGGCTTGTCTGTAAGGCACTTATCTTGAAAGCACAGGAATCTGAGTTTCATCCCCAAACTCACATAAAAATCACAGGTATGTGATGTCCACTTGTAATCTCAGCTGGGGGTAGGAGGCCCTTAGTCCAGAGGATCCCAGGGACTCACTGGCCAGCCAGATTAGCCTAATTTGTGAGCTCTGTACCAATGAGAGATCTTGTTTCAAAGGAGGTAGATGGTTGTTTCTGAAGATGACACCCAGAGTTGTCATCCGCCCTCTACATGAACACACGTAAACATGGAAATGAATCATTTGGGCTTCTTTCTTAGTAAGTACAGCTTTTTTCTAAGAAGCTGCATCTTGGGAGTCACTGCTTATCCAGCACACATGGTGGAGAAGCCAAACTATGAAAGTTAAACACAACATGGGAAATGTTTCCAAGGGCCCTGATACCTAGGGAAATTAGATAGAAAAGTGAAAAGGGCACTGTAGTGGTCACAACAGAACAGATAAATATTGGAGCATAAATATTGTTTTGAGGAAAGCAATAATTATTTTCATGAATCAAGTATTAGTTGTGTCTAGAGTAACAAATGAAAGAGGAAATTTTGGGCAAGAACAAGGGGATGATGAACCTTGGATTTTGCACATCTACTTTTATACAAAATCTATTCACAGGACAGCAGAACAATAAGAAAGTACTAAGAAGTCAAACAATATTTGAGAATTATCTACAAAGAATGATAAAAGACATGGTGAGTATTAAGAGCCTCATGGCTTGGGCTGGAGAGGTGACTCAGCAGTTAAGAACACTTGCTGCTCTTGAGGAGGACCTGGGTTCTGTCCCTACATTCACGTGGCAGCTCACAGCCATCTTTAACTCCAGTTCCAGGGGTTCCAATGCCCTCCTTCTGGCCTTTGTGGGCACCAAGCATGCACATACATACATATAAGCAAAGACTCATATATACACAGAGTAAAAATAAATGAATCTCAGAGAGAGAGCGCGTCTCATTATATACAAAATTATTTAGGCTTTCAGAAAAAACTGACAAGATCCCAGCACAACCAAGACACCTGCTGCCCTAGAGCAACAGGTGTCCAGTAAGCATTATAACCAAGAGCACAGTGTTATTCTAAAGAGAACAAACCCTATTTATATGGACTGTCATCCAAGAGCAGAGGAAGCATTTCATGATCTTAATGTATGATCTTAATTGTAAAATAGTTTTAATACCTTCAGAAACATCTTGTGATTTCACAACAGATATCAAGTCTGAAATAAGGCTAAGTAAAATTGGAAACTCTTCCTTTCATTACTGCATTAAAGCTCTGGCAGTAACAACTCTTTTCTGTATCCTTCACTTTTCATAGCCAGTCAGTAGCCCATTGGGCTGTTGTGTTTGGCAGCTGCCCTTTTTATTTCCACTCTAGTCATCTCATGTCTGGATTGTTTCTTATCTGATTTCCCAGCCTCCAGTTCTCTCTATTCTGCCTCCTGGTACATCTTCCCCAAAGTTCCTCTCTTCGTTGATTTCCCCTCCAAAATCTCAGGCTATTCCCAACAATATGGTCTCAACGTATCAGTCAGGTGATTACAAGACACAGTGAGTTGACCTTGACCTACTTTTCTATCCTCCCTTTTCATGAGAAAACTCACAGTACTCTACACCTGGACTATTTTAATCCACATCCAAAGTAACCCACTCATTTATGCCACTCTACATTTGGCCACAAGGCATCCTCTGTCCTTTCCACACATTCTTCAAATCAACCTTCAGTACGAGACAAGCATCTCTGAAGCTCTCTTCTGAGAGACAGCACCTACTTTGTCACAGCTCCCCTGCATTCTCGTTTGCTGTCCACCACATATAGCTTGCATCATTAATCAATTTTTACAATAATACTGCAGATTTTTTTATTTCTTAAATCCGCATCTCCAGAAGAATTGGGTCATATGTATGACCCATATTTACATATTTACATAAAACTGTTTAAGACATGCAATTAATGAGAAAACTACCAGTTGACTTGACCAGCTAAAGGCCTTTTTATTTTTACCATGTAGTAAAATTTAGGGTGAAAAACTCTGGCAGCAAATAACAATTTCAGGAGATATTTATTTCATTATTTGCAATGTATACTTCATTATACATTAAATGTTTTCAAGATATAACTACACAATTAGAATTCAAAGGTTCATTAAATTATTCTAACTTATGTACAAGGACAGAAAAGAAAACCAGACACAGATTTTAAACATTCAGTTAAAAAAAAAATCTAGCTAATTTTAGGGGAAAACCAAGATCTCCACATTTATCACATGTACTTACTTTTGTTTTAATCGAATATAGGAAGTAGATAAATTGTTCCAAGCCTCGGCATTCTGAAATAATACATAATTCAGTTAGAGAATGTTCTTAGGTAAGATACTTGCTAAAACCAAATATAATCCATTTTCCTAGTCTGGTATCTATCCTTAAAAACACACACACACAATTTTCAATAATGTATTTGAAAGGGGGAAAAAAAGCATAAAACTAAATTAGGCTTTATTTTTATGCCTTACAAAATTTTTTTTAAAAATCTAAACCAATGACATAGCTATCACAGCACTGATTTAGAGTTTAGTTAAATTTTTATTTTCAAATTTTGACATATAAAATAGTTGGAAATTTTACAATATAATTTAATGAATATGTCTATATTATATATTCAAGTCAAATCAAGACTTATATAAATATTGATTCTAATAAGAATGTTATTATTAATTTTACCTTGTTCTATTTTTTAAATAAAGTATAGTTAACTGCCACACATAGGATTTTAAATGTACTGACTGCACTCTCCAGATGTGGCAAAGCTAGTACCGGGCTAGCCTTCTCACCATAAAAATCTCCAAAGTGGACAAAATAAGCAACTGTTTGGGGAAGTCGGACAGCAACAGCCCAGGAGTGACCCCAGAGAGGAGAAAGTGTCTCAGCAGTCAGTACAGCCTCTGGCTATGGCACACTAAGGATCCCACACAGACAGGCAGACACCTAACAGCAAGCAAATCCACTGAGATGAAAGAATGGGAGCAGACTGTAGGGCTGAGAAGGCAGCTGGAATATGCAGCAAAATGCCATGGAAAAGAGGTACAAGAGCACATTCCGGAGAGTTCCAGAAGCATCCTGAGTCCTAGGCTAGGCAATAAACTTTACTACATGGCAAGACTTTCTGAGGCCTGAAAAAAAATCTGTCTAAATGCTCTGTGCTGAATGAAGACTCTGGAGGTCACACAGTACCAGGAGTTTCAAGATCTGACCAAGCAGAGCAGAGCTATCCCTGCCTAACCAAGACATTCACTCAGTCCAAGAAAGTCCTCCTAACGGAAGGACTGCTACAACCTGGAAAACAAGAATCTCAGATCTGTCCTAGTACAATAACTGAATGTCAAAATAAAACTCAGTCTTCCTGAGGGAAAATGACTAAATGCAGACGTAACAACCTGACACAATGTGTAGGCACAACAAAAAAAAAAAGGCCAGAGTCAGGCTGGGATGAATCCCAGCACTCAGGAGGCAGAGGCTGGAGGACAGTGTCAGGTCAGCCTGAGCTACACCAAGAGTTCAAGGCCATTATGAGCTATGTAGAAAGATACTGTCTCAACAAAAAGACAGAAATAAAGGTGATAGACAGATAGCCAGGACGAGGGGTGGAGAGAGAGAGGAAGGGAGGGCCAAATAAATTGGTAAAGATGCAAAGAAGGGGAAAAGTTCACCCATAACCAAAGGAAAGATTAATAAAAATAAAAATAGAACAAAAATGCAAGAGCTGATGGCATACACATAAAAGGACTTGATAATGGCTGTTAATGTACACTCAAAGCCTTGGAAAACATGAACACAATGAGAGGGTGGTTGGGGACCTGAGTACATGACAGCGCTGACGGGACAGAAGGAAGATGCTTCAACTGCGAAGTCTTCATCTGCAATTAGCTCAGGGGTACTCTGCGTGGCCTGTGGGAAGTGACAGCGGGAGGGCCATCTCTCACCCTGAAGGCAGAGCAAGCAATGGGAAGTATGAGGCTGGAAACAGCGCCAGACACCGTAAGTAGTATAAAATACTGACAATTAGAGTGCCAGAGAGAAAGGCAGGCTGGGGCCACTCAGTCACAGTGCATATAGCATGTGTGAGGCCCCACGTTCAATCACCATCACCACAAAGCCAGAAGGATAAGCAGTACAGGATTTGAAGAAACAATGACCAAAGATTCTCAAATTTGATGAAACTCACTTAAGTTCATAAACCCCCCAAATTTAAAAGCCCCCAAGAAAGACATATAAAGAAATATAATAATACCAATACTGCTTTTTTAAAAAAAAAAAAAAAAAAAAAGGTTAAAAGAGCAATCATTGGGGCAGATATAATAAGGAGATATTATACATCAAAGGGAAAATGTGTCCAAAGGACACAAAGTTAACATACAAAATCCAGTTATTTCTCTTAAGTTCTGCTAACATATATTTAAACCCAGCAGTTCTTATACCAGAATCAAGCAATGTCAACTTGGGTTTTTATGAACTATGTCCACACAGAGACTTGTACGGAACGTCCACAGCAGGGCTATTCAGACTGTGCAGTAAAAATTGCAGGCACCTTCAACAGGATGGGGCATGCATGCATTTTGGATGCCACAAAGCATTGAAAAAAACTAAATGCTGCTACTACAACTAGCAGCACACAAAATCTGAAATATATCCCAAGTCAAAGAAATCTGAACAAATACACTCCTACTGTACAATTTAATTAATACAAAGATATGGAATAACGTACAGAGAAAACCTTGACAGTACAGCTATTAAGGGACACAGGAGAAATTCATGGTGACAAGAGGGAGGACATGAGGGAGCTCCTAGGGATACTGGAGTTTTCAACATCTTATTTTTAAAAACTGTCCAAACCGTTCATTTGATACTGGGTGCAGGCTTAAGTTATACTGCACTTAAAGGACAAAAAAGAAAATGGAGTGACAGTCGGTCACTATTTCAAATACACAATTTTCTCTGCATTTGAGGTGAAAGAGGGGACTTGGAAAATCTGCAGTCCATCGAGCATGGTCTTCTTTATTTTTATTAGACCCCAAAAAACAGTTACGTTAGCAATTTAGACATTTACAAAAGCTAAGTGCAGGGGCTGCAAAGATGAATTGCTGAGTAACATGCCATTGCATGTGCACAAGGACCTGAGTTCAGAAGCCCACAGGAAGAGCCTAGTGTGGTGATATGTGTCTGTGCCCCTGCCCTGGAGGCAGCAATTCATGCTCCAGGACACTGAGATACCCTGTCTCAAAAAAAAAAAAAAAAAGCATGTAAAATGATTGAGGGAAACAAATGATGCCAGTTTATGGCTTCCACATACTCACACACAGGTACATAAACACTCACACATGTAAACACACAGAGTGAGAAAGAGATCAAACCAACTATAAGGGGTTACACGCACACTGAAAAGACTAAGCGTGACGATTTAGAAAGCTGGAGAACGGAGTCCATTGTGGATGGTAGCAAACATCTGAAACAGTCTGCATCACAAACATTAATTTTCCTAAGAGTCCCATGGAAGATGTTTTGTGGAATACTGACAGTAATGGTCTAAGGAATGAAATAAGGGTTATGGTCAGATGCAGGCCTGGACTTGATTCCTAAAGCAGTAAGATTGTGGCTAATCCCATTCTTCTGTCATAGAGCATGTGCATCACATGTTTGTGGGATGGCAGAGGGGAAAGAAGGGTGAAAAGAAGAGAAGGAAGAAGCAGCAAGGGCCTCGTAAGATGCTTCAGCAGGTCAGAGGCCCACTGCCAAGCCTAACAACTGGAGTTTAATCACTGGTACCCACAAGGTAGAAAAAGATAATCAGTTCCACAGGCTGTCCTCTGACCTCCACATGCATGCCTTGTCACCCACATTCTCCCCCAACACACAAAAAGGGAGAGAGGGCATTTGGTTGATAGTCTTTAAGAAGGGAGGTTTTAGGTTTTCCACACTCATGGTGGTAAAATAGTGCTGTGCAGATTAAATGAAACCCTTATCAATACCTCTACAAATGCTGATGTTAAAATTCAACATGAAAGCAGGGCTGTGGGGGCACATGCCTTTAATCCCAGCACTCGGGAGGCAGAGACAGGCAGATCGCTGTGAGTTCGAGGCCAGCTTGGTCTACAGAGTGAAACTCTGTCTCAAAACAAAACAAAACAAAACAAAATAAAAATCAACCTGAAAAACTGAGGAAAAAAAAACAGCTAAAACAATTGTGAAGAAGCAGCATTTGAGTGTTCACACTCATCATCTTGTTTTATTTTGTTTTTTCAAAACAGTTTCTCTGTGTAGCCCTGGATGTCAGAATCCAATTTGTAGACCAGGCTGGCCTCAAACTCAGAGATCCACCTGCCTCTGCCTCCTGAGTGCTGGGATTAAAGGTATGCACCATCACTGCCTGGCCATACTCATTCTTAAACCCCACCTCAAAGATTCTGTGACTAGTGCTAGCACACATAGAGACAATAGCTGATGGAATCTAACTGAGGCCTACATGTAGAAGAATAAAACTGGAACCCTTCCTTATGCCATACACAAAACTTAAGATAATCTAGACCTAAAACTACATAAACTCTTAGAAGAAAAGGTAGGCATAGCGCTGGGAATATAACTCAATAGTAGAGCAGTTGCCTAGCCCACATAAAACCCTGAGTTCAATCTTTGATAATGAAAGAAAAAAGTGGGGGGTTTCATTCATCAGATCATAGTTTTGGCAATGGATTAGAAACAAAGGAAAAAGCACAGATGAGTTAGATGTCATCACTGGGCAGGGCAGTACAGTAATCCCAGCATTCAGTACGACCTCAAGGCCAGGCAGCCTGAGCTGCACAGTGAGATCAGGGTCAGCACAGACAATAACAAGACTTGGTCTACAAAAATCCCAACCAAACAAATACAAAAAAATTCAGGCTTTGGGCCAGCAAGATGGCTCAGTAGGTAAAGGCAGTTGCTACACAAACCTGAGGTCCTGAGCTGGATCCCCAGAACTCATGGAAGGAGAGAACCAGCTCTACAGAGCTGTCCTCTGATCTTCACACATGCACCATACACACACACACACACACACACACACACACACACACACACACACACACACACAAATAAAGAAATAAATAAATAAATAATAAAACTAAGGGCCAGAGAGATGTCTCAGCAGGTAAAGGCATCTGATGCCAAGCCTGACAACCCTGGATCCATATGGTAGAAGCAGAGAATGGACTTCAACAAACTGTCATTTGACCTCTGCACAGGTGTTGTGGCACTCATAAAACCCCCCCCCACATCTCTCTCTCTCTCACACACACACACACACATGTGCATGTGTACTCGAGCTCACTAAATTAGTCTTAAAAGTAAAACAGCTGAGGGTCTGGGAAGGTGGCTCAGCAGGTCAGAGCACTTGTTGCTCATAGGTTCAATCTCCAACACCCACATGGCAGCTCACTACTGTGATGCCAGTTCCAAGGCACCTGACGCCCTCTTCTGGCCTCCATGGGCACTAGGCAGGCATGTGATGCACAGACAGATGTGCAGGCAAAACATCCACACACAGAACAAACTTAAAAATGTTTGTGCTTTAAAGGGCGCTATTAAAAAAGTGAAAAGGGGCTGGAGGGACAGCTCAGCAGTCATGAAACTTATCACCCTTGCAGAGGACTCAGGTTTGACTCCCAGCACCCACACAGTGCCTCGCAGCCATCTGTAACTCCAGTGCAGGGGAGCTCTGATGCCCCCCCTGACCTCTTCTGCTGCAAGCACCAGGCATTCACATGGCACACCTACATACATGCAGGTGAAGCATTTGTATATGTAAAATAAATCTTTTCAAAAAGTAAAAACACAAAGAATCGGAGGGCATTATCCACAATTCATAAGGGCCTTATAGTTGGAAAACATAAGGAATCCTTACAACTGAACAATCAAAAACAAATTTTTAAATGGGCAAAGGGTATGAATAAACATTCCCCCAAGGAAGATACTAAATCTAGGCAAATGCAAAGATATCCAACATAATTAGCCATCAAAGAAACACAGGTTGAAGCCATGAGATACACCCACCAGAACAGCTATTAAAAAAGAGAAAGTAGCAAGTGCTGGCAAGGATGTTGAGAAACTGGAATCCTTACTCATTGCTGGCAAGAATATTAAAAAGTCCTCTGTAAGCCTGTCAGTTCTTCTAAGGTTTAGCCACATGATCCAGCAGCTCTCCCATTACTATATACTCAAGAGAAATGGAAACACAAGTCCACTCGAAACTGGCAAATAAATGGTAATAACAGAAGCACTGAGAAGTGTACCAACACAGAGAGGATCCAAATGCCACCCGCTGATGAGTGGGTACACGTGACCTGCCCAAACTCTGGAACACTAGCTGTCAATAAAAAGTTAATGGGCACAGATGCAAGACGGGCGGCTGTAAAACACTAACGTAAGAGAAGAAACAAGCCTCTAAGTCCACTTCTATGAAATGCCCAGAGCTGGAACCCTATAAAGACAGTGCTGTCCAGTGCTGGGGAGGGAAGGTTAGGAGGGAGGGAAAGGGAGTGACTGTGACGGGAGCCAGGCTTCTTTTTAGGGTTATAAAAGTGCTCTAAGAATATACCAACGTTGTAACTCTGAATTAAAGCACTCAAGTATCACTCTAACTAGATACACTGTTTGTGAACTATCATTTCTACAATGCTGTTAAACAGAAAGTGACTCCACACTAAAACAATTACCTTCTAGTAGTGCAATGAACACAGGCAGCAAGTTATAAATGATAAAAGATACAGCACACTTTATTGTACTAGTCAGTCATATCTAGTTTTAGCTCAAAATATGTTTACCAAAATTATTTACTAAACAAAGCCATAACTATTATTATGATTCCCTCAAAAAAGTACTTTGACTTATAAAGCACACACCTTGAGTGTGACTTCCCATCAAATGTGCACTTCCACCAACAAAGCAACTGCTATTCTAAGCTGTATAGCACAATTCAGCTAACTTAAACGAATACAAAGGAGTTGAAGTAAAGAAAAGGGTCAAACAAACTTACATCAGGCTCTAGGGTTACACAACGCTGAAATGCCTTCGCTGAGCCCCCATAGTCTTCCAAGGCCAAGTAGGCGCAGCCTAGAGAAAACCAAACCCCAAGCTGCAAAGATCAAAAGTCAAAATTATTCAAACACATACACACACTTAAAGCTACAGTCTGAACGCATTTAAGATACTATGGAGGAATATACTTCTGTGCAAGATTCAGAACTATGTAATATTTGCCTTGTATTGAGTTTAACTGTAGGAAATTTAGTGGAGATAAAATTTACCATGAAAATGTCAAACCTATTATAACAATGAAAGCACTGTAATATTAATACTATTTATACACTTGGTGTTAGTTAAAGGCAATGGATAGCTTTGTTTATAATCCTTTATATTTGAGTCTGGTATTCTAAACCTGGACTTAATGATGTAAATAAAAACCTTTACAAAGTTATCAGCAGATTCGAAACTGAGCAGTGTACCACAAACACAAGGACAGAGTTCTGCTTTCACCATCAATTCCCACAGATAATCTCCACTATTTAACCAAGAACAACCTCCTAGCATGTATCTGTATAGGCATGTCTGCAAAAAACTTGGATAGGGTCAGAATCTGGCTTAGATTTGGAAAACAGGTAACTACAAAAGAACTCTTTATATCACCTGGTTTCCTAAAAATTCAGTAGACCCTGTCAAAGGAGCTATAGCTGGTAAAAATTCAATGGCATTAGTTAGAAATGCACCTATTATGAGTTAAGTTTGTTTTTCTTGCAGTCACAAAGCCTAAGGTGAATGGAAGCTTACTTTCTTACAGACTGAGCAGCACAAAGGCAGGGAGAGAGCAGTGGAAAAGGAAATGACAGACTCTGAATCTGTGCCACTCGCCCCCAACCAGCAGAGGAGGAGCTACCTCCAGTCCCTCCTCCCTAACCTGCCTGCTGTTAATTATTAGTATTTATTATTGATTTATCTTTTAGTTAAACAGAGGTTATTCCTAAACCAGCTGTATACCCAAATCACCAGAGACTAGGATTTATTTAATTAACCTAGAGCACAATGCTTGGGTAATAGTTACTCAATCCTAAACCTCCAAGACCACACAACTTCCCCCATTCAGATTTCCCACATTATACCTGCCTTTTAGTCACATCTTAGGTCCGGTTCATCTCTCCTTGTGGTTCTCCTGCCCATCTCTGCTCTCCTACTCCTCCCCTCCGGACCAGGATATCCCAACCTATTCTCTCCATTGCTCAGCATTTGGCTGGTTGTTTTATTGACAACACAGAGAGCAAATGGTGGCATGTTTACACAAACTTGAGACAGGTGATGCTTAGAATAAGCATCACAATGCAATGTCTGGATTGAAACCAGAGAGTGGGGGAGAGAAACCAGCATTTGAATGAACAAGGGTAAATTGTATACATTCCACAAGAACATTATACTAACACCTGCCCCACAAAAACCTGTTCCACACAGAGGGCATAGAGACCTGAAAGTTCTCTATGAAGATAAGGATTTTTAGCTGATACTTAAGGCTTCCAAAGCAAATGTCCTCAGGCAACTTAATACTTCTCTGACTTCACAGGAGTCTATAAATGACCACCAAGGGCTTCCTTCATGCAGAACAGATTTGGTAGAAGCTGGGTGAAGGCTGCAGAGGGTGGTGTGCACCGGGTGGGAGGAAGAGCAAAGAGTCTTGCTGGGCACAAGTTCTCTGCCCTGAACACAAAGGCAGTCCCACTTGGTTTTCACCTGGCTACTTACAGAATGAATGAAAAGAACCATGCAAGACACCAAAACACTTTCCCCAAATGTGGCACAGTCTAAAAGGACCCAAGTCCAGACCTAACTTATGTGACAATACATAAAAGCAGTCCCTGCCTCCCAAACAAGTTCAGCTTTGAAACCTTCATGCTGCATTTCATCGTTCTAGGGTACACTCTTGTTCTTAACATCTCTGAAACAAACACATTTGGGTTTTGTTTGTTTTCTTGGCTTTGGTTCTGGTATATTACAAATGCCCCATTCTGCACCCAAACTTGTCTTAAACTCATGGATCCTCCCGCCCCAACCTCTCAAGTGCCAGAGTCACAGACATACTTTAATATAACCCGCTTCCTTGACAGTTTTACCAGCAGTTATTTTTTTTTTTTTATACAAAGTGATATTTATAATGCAGGGGTCCTTTCCAAGATGGCAGGTTAGGGCAATGAATTCTAAGTCACTTGGAATGAGGGCTACCTCATCCTGTCTGCGCCTCAACAGCAAACACAAACACACACACACATACACACACACAAAAATAAATAAATATTTTTCCCCACATGTTGAAATAAATAAGAGGCTGTAAAAAATCAAGACACAAATGAACCTCAATTTTCAATTCTTCAGAAAAGATTAGCAAATAACAGCACTTATAATATAGCTCTAACCCACACTGGTCATATGAAGGTCATTATTCACTTTTAAGTTTTAAAAACCAGCTAATGTTTTATACTCAGCACATTAAAGTTTTTTAATGAAAATGTAGACACATAACTTACTCTAATATAAAGTATTAATATGGTTCTTGTATCCTTTACCTTTGGTTATTTTTTGCAGTTATTTTAGCAATTTGCATGGAATGGAAATCCTAAGATCATTTAACTACTAGCTTGCATCTGTCAACACCAGGTAACCTTGAAAGCAAAGACCTCTAAGCATCCTGGCCCTTGGACTCACAGAGCTCTCATTTTTAAACTCTGGGGTCTCCCAATTGCTAAGAGCTGACTCACTACATCGTCTTAATTTTTTTATTTCTCAGTTGAGGGCTTTAGATTTTGAAGAACTGTGGACAATCCTTGGGATTTCTTTAACTTTATGTTTAAATTATTACTTAAACTACCATTGTCAATAATGACTGGTAGGGACAGTGAGAAGTCTCAGCAAGAAATGGCACTTGCCCCACAAGCCTGACGACCTAACATGAGTTTGAAGCTGGTGCGGTGGCCCATATCGATAGATCCGCATTCCTCTGAGAGGCACAGCCGGGGTGCTTGTAAGTAGCTAGGCTGAAACACTCAGGCCGGACCGAAAGATGATCTCTATATGCATGCTGAGTTAATCACACATGCACATGCACGCACATACAGCAATACAAGATACATTTAATACAGAAACCAAGAAGCCTCAAGACCTTCCAGCAAGTCCTTAAAGTACAGGTGAATTCTCTAAGCTCCAAGGGTAGGTGCATAGCTTCATTACACGTTCTGGTGGCTACATCTTTTTAAAAGTTTATTTTAATAATATTTAATTCTAGATACCCAAAATGAGACTGCTTCAACATGTTGTTAATATATAAAATGTTTGAGATATTTTATATCCACCTTTTCCTACTAAGTCTTTTAGATCTGGTGCGTATCCAGGACTTTCAGTATTGCTTTAGAGTTAATCCAAAGACCTGGCTAAGGGACCATCTCTCCGGAAGGCAGGATCACCCCAGGAAGAAGAACTCTCCTTAAACCATGCTAACGAGACAGCTGGAGTAATGAGCCCTTTAGTGACATACAGAACTTTCTTGCTTGCCTCCTGGCATACTCAAGAGCCTCATAAGGTTCTGCGGGTGTGCCCACCTTTCTAAGCAAAAATGTGCAGCTTCCCTTATTCCTTTTGTCTCGTTAGGGTGCTGGTTAGACCCTAAATATGCTTTTTTCTGCTATTTTGGGCTTCCTTATTCTTCCTGTAAACACCACCTCCAACCAGCCCACTATGGTGGGCCATGCAGACTAACAGAGAAGCAGCAACAGGGGGATGGGCTGTTCAGAGTGAGAAGAGTTAAAAGGGTTTGGCCAGGAACCACTTGGCAGAGAGGCTCTAGTAAGATTTCTATCGAGCTCACACATCTGGGGCAAGCCAGGAGGCCACGCTACCATTGGCCATGCCCTGTGGAAGCCAGAGTCCAGTATGTGGGAACCAATGCAGAAACACAAAGGCTGAACAACTGCTTATTTAGGGTGAAGTGATGCTTGCATTTAAGTAATGATTGCTTAAATATCTTAAATAATTTAAAAAGAAGAAGACCAACAACAACAACATGACTGGCTGGGAACAAGATCTGCTAGAATTTCCCGTGCAGAGCCACCCAGAATACAACAGAGTGAGAAGACGTGGCTGACTCAGGAGGCTCTGAGCACCTGTGTGGCTCTAATACTTCACCTCTGAGCCTCAGACCCTGGGTATTAAGGTTGGGGGTGGGGGCGTAAACCAGGCTATAACTCCAAGGCTCTGGGATGCTCCAGAGGTGATACAGTTCAGAGGTACGCTGGTGCCATCTAGTGGTAGGATAAATACACTGGTCATAAAAACTATTCAGAATCAGCAGGTTTGAAGAGCTGGGGGTAGGGGGTGTCATTCAATTAGGCCTTAGAAATCAATTCAAAGGAAGCAAATAGAAAAACATGGCCTGGAGAGAAAATAGTTTACTCAAAGCTTCACGATTACTAGTTCCTGGAGCAGTCTGTGATGAGAACAACTACAGTATTTTGTAAACTTAACACCTGAAATGGAAATGAACCATCTAAGAGCTATCATAGAGCGCCACTAGAGAATGGATAAAATGACTTTTATATCTGTAAAGATAACTTTTACAACAGTAAGGAAACATGCACAGAGAGAAAATACTTGCTTGGATATCATAATTTTCTGTTTTGTATTGTTTTTTCAAGACCAGGTTCTCTACATAGCCTTGTCCTGGAACTCTCACTTTGTAGACCAGGCTGGCCTTGAACTCAGATATGTGCCTGCCTCTGTCTCCTGAGTGCTGAAATTAAAAACTGGTCAGTTTGCTGATTTGCTACTCAGATCTTCTTCCTTGGCAGAGGGGGGGAGCGGGGGGCCTCCACATAATAACCAAGGTTCACATTTTTCTACTAAGTCCCTTCAGGGCTGTCTGTCTGTCACGTGTACTAAGTTCAACATAATCTAGCCCCAACCTAGCCCATTGTTCATTCTCTGCCTTCTGCTTCCCCACCAGTCCCATGGCCCAAATGCAAATAAACTGTTGAATGTAGTTCAACAAACAGTGAGCACCCTGGGCCAAGTTCAAGATCACGGCAACCACTGCTTGGTAGCAGC